ATTAGACCTCCAATGCTGTCCAGAAGAAAGCCAAGGGGGCTGTGCAGAGTCCTTCCAAATTGTCATAAAGGACCCTCACAAACAGATAAACAACATTCAGACACTACAGAAAGAAAAGAGGAACAAATGTGTTATGTGACACAGTAAATACAGTTAGTGAATCTGTGCAGTATAGTTGATGTCATATGTGATAAGTAGCCTCAGTTCATGTTAGTGTCATGACACATGTAAGACTTAATGCCTCTTTTTATCTCTTACCTGAGCCCTGATTGGCTGCTTGTGTTTCAGATCAACCATTGGTGGAACAGGCTGAGTGAGGGTCAGAGGACAGTCACAGGTGAGAGGACACTGACCCACGCACATGGCAGTTTCCTGTCCGGTAATGGCAGAGACAGAGGTTCCATTCCAAGTCCCTCACTTGACCATTCCTTGCTCGACCCAGAAGTCATTCCTGTCCGCTATCTTGAAGAACATCCCAAAGCTCTTATCCCTGCTCTGCGGGGCCAGGATACACGAGCGCATCCCTCGTGGAAGCCCTTTATGTACAGACACACCCCTTGCTGATTAGATACTTTAGATGAAGGATTGGAGAAAAGGGCGCCTTGTGTCTCTAAAAATGCTTCCTCGATTCCTCTGTCCTCGTATCTTATGTGGGCGGGACTAAGACACAAGGAAAGATAGAGGTGAGGGAAACGTGGATGCAGTTATGGGAATTGGGATGTATGCACAGTTTAACCTGTCAGCCTCAGTGTTTTTGAGCAAAGCACTGAAAATACACTTAAACACAGGAAAATGTCTTTTCCACCAAAATAAAAGCTTTGGATTTAATCAGTTGAAATCTTGCCGGAGCCCTGAACTGTAACAGACAGGATTCATACAAAGCACACATCACACAGCACCTCACAGAGACACTACACTGAGCTCTGAACTAACAGTCTCTCTTTTGTTTTTCTGCAGGGATCATTGCAGCTAATGTCGTTGTGTTCTGCTGTTGGAGAGTACCGTCTCTGCAGCGCTCCATGATCAAGTACTTCACCTCCAACCCCGCCTCCAGTGAGTCTGACTGCTCAGAGCACCTCATGGTTTCATGGTCTGAGTTACACTCGGTGAACACTGATAAAAGCAGCTAACCCTCTGTCGTGTGTCTTCCTGCAGAGACTCTGTGCGCTCCAATGCTTCTCTCCACATTCAGTCACTTCTCTTTCTTCCACATGGCTGCCAACATGTATGTCCTGTGGAGCTTCTCCACCAGCGCTGTCTCCATGCTGGGCAGAGAGCAGTTCATGGCCGTGTACCTGTCTGCAGGTACTGCACCTGAACACAGCGCACTGTCAGCAGGGAGAGGGTCACACTCACTGCTGTTTGTTTCTCTCTGTTCAGGTGTGATTTCCACATTTGCCAGCTATGTGAGTAAGATGGCAACGGGGAGGTTCGGCCCATCTCTGGGAGCGGTAAGCACCAGCATCACTGCTCTGCTTTCAGTGTATAGACTCTAATCGGTTTGATCCAGCCTGAGCCTGGACCCCCAGGATGTGTCTGGTCAGTCATATAATGAGTTGGTTACTGGGGTAGAAAATAAGAAGACACTAGAATTACATCATCTCAGTTGTACGCCTCCACCGATCAGTCAGATTCTCGGGAACGGGACAGAGGTGAGGTCGTAGTGACCTTTGATCATCGTAATCTCAGGGCATAAAGCTCTCCGGCATATCCGTTTTTGATTAGAAAATAGATACGTAGAAGATATTCTAGCAGGTTCTTTAGTGTCTTGTAAGAACAGGCCTATGGCTGTATATGTATGTGTGCAGCCACAGGGAACCTTTTTCTGTTAACGAAGTAGACCTACTTTATTAACAAAAACCTTTGTTTACACTTTGGCTCAGTGGAGTGTCAGTAATGCACGTGACCACTGTGCACTCCTTTGAAAAAGTGTTGCACTGAACCAGCCATTTGTTTTTTTCATAGCCTTGCAGTCTGTTGGACCAGTTTGGCAGCCACTTAATAACAGTAGGTCAGTCATGGCCCATAATGATGCTTCATAGAGACCGAAGGAGGAACAAGTGTTAAAACGTTTGGAAGAGGCGTGTTGGATATGCTTTATGGCTTTGAGAGTTGTGCTTGGACTTGGGTACAATTAGCCTGCCACGCTATGGTTTCCGACCAGTGTTTCCAGCTGAGCACAGGCACAGGGTGAGTAGAGAATGCATTTTTCCCGACATTAGGACCTTTTAAGTTAACGTGAGGATTCACATTTAGAAACAGCTAGATGTGGTGGTTCTGTCTTTCTGAAACTGGTCGCAGTATGTGCACAGTTGTCATCCATGTGGCTTGTAGCCGCCAGCTCACTAGACTGTTTTTGGCTTCATAGACCAAAGAAATTCCATGAAGGCGTTCCAGGTACTTCCAGGTACACTCCAGTGAGCGACCGTCGCACCCCATGAATATTAAAGATCTGATTCATCACACCAAGATCATTAAGAGAAATAGCAACTTTAGCACCACATCTGGCCATTTGCATCTCCGGCCTCCCCATTTACCTGTACGGGTGTTGTCCTGGAGCTTGTAACCATGGTGACAGACACAGCGGTGGCTCCTTGGTGTGTTTTCACAGCGACCTTTGGAGCAGGGAGCCTGGCAACAGTCATCGATGTCTGTAGACAGTTACTAAGCTGTTATTATTATATATATCTGATGCCAGAAGAGTTGTGGTCTGAGCCAAATGGCTGCTTAGAGCTCCTCAACTTTTTCCAAGCTGAAAATCACCAGTTTTCCATTCAGCTGTCTGCCTTATGTTCAAGGACTCCAGAGCCCTGTCCAGGTTTGCTGTAGGAGGTTGTTTTATTGCTGCGCATACAGACGGAGTGAGCCAGCCAGGAGAACGGCAGTGTAACACAGACAGTGTAGAGGCCATGCTCTGGTGTACAGCTCTCAGTTACAAAGGGGTGACGAGAGCGAGGCTACAGACTGTTGTTCAACATGAACAGCATTTCCATGTGGGTTGAAAACTATATCAAGAGCAAATATAACAGGGTGCATGTGCCTTGACTCTCATGTGATATTTCAGCAAAATAAACTCCAGTGTGTGCTGAACCTAACAGAAGGAAAGCAACACAAGTTACAGTGAAGTTACAGGAACTGTGGTTTTGCAACAGAGGGACTCACCTTTAAAATGAGTGTGAAGTTAGAGAATGAGTTCAGTTTAGTTCCAAACCTCTGATTGCTCTTATTTTTCTTTCTGCTTCTCTGTGTGCTGGTTTTCTTTCATGCTTGCGAGACTTTTTTTTTTAAATAAAAGTTTGCTTCTTCCTTGTAAAACATTGCCACCAGGTAGGTCGGCAAATACTGACATACATAAAATATCAGGGGTAAGGAAGACTGGAGATCAGCGTTTCATGTCAGCTGTTGTAGGCGTTGGTCAACACTCAGAAAATGTTTGGACTTTGAGTAAGAAAACAGTCCAAGGTCCAGGATTCACAAGTCTCACAGAGTTTGTTTTGTGTGTGTTGTAGTCTGGAGCCATCATGACCATCCTGGCCGCTGTTTGTACCAAGATGCCAGAAGCCAAACTGGCCATCATCTTCCTCCCCATGTTCACCTTCAGCGCTGCCAACGTAAGACTCACTTCACCTGGTTCACCTGCTGTCTTGCCACCAGACCCTGATCCCTGTCCCTGTGTCTCTGCAGGCCCTGAAGGCCATCATCGCCTTGGATACGACGGGTGTGGTGCTGGGATGGAAGTTTTTTGACCACGCTGCTCATTTAGGAGGAGCCATGTTTGGGATGTGAGTCTGTTTCGACCAGTCGCTGTAGAAATTATTTTGATTTTGTGTTTGAGGATGGGCTCTGATCTGGATCCAGTTCTAGCATTACTCCAACATCATTAATCTCCAGTATATATGAGAAACGCATATGGCTCCGTCCACATCCCATCTGAACCTTCCCAGACCTGATGTGTCCAAGCAGTGTGAACAGACCAGATCTGGGCCACCTGTATATGTGCTCCTAGATCAGATTCCTATCCGACCTCTGACTGTGCCACTCTTTATTAACAAAACAGGTGCAGCAACAGTGGTGATATGAGTCTGTCATAAACGAGACCTTTAATCGCTCTTACAGCTCCGCTGAAGATGCCTGGATTCGTTCATTTCCACACTGCTCACTGTTAATCAGTGACAAATCAGCTGCAAATACACAAATCACGGGTTTCCTGGGACATGTTGGGGTCATTGATGCTGCACCAGGCGCTGACGAGGGCGCTTCTGTGGATTGAAAGTGTTACTACAGCATTAACACTCAAGTGGTTATGAACTAGGTGATCCTTTATTTACTGGATTTAGTGACCAAATGGACCTATACACGACTCGAGTGACTGTGAAAGCGGACTGAAACTTCTATTTGAAAATAATTGTTCCCCCTCAATAAACAGCTTCATTATAGGGAATGAGAAAAAATTAGGGCTGATGAAGGTAATGTCTCACTCGGTGGCTTTTCAATAAATTTGCCGCCTAAAGCGAATTGACAAACAGCACAGTACCACAGTGTATAATGAATGTGTTATTTTGTGTTACCAACCCTAACCCTCTACACACACAAAGCCTTCATTTGACAAGTGATGCTGACGTCAGCATTTCAGTTCCCAGCTGTTTGTAACTACAAACCCCGACTGTCAGAAAAACTACAACGTGTCGGTTTAATGTCGCCTTCGTGGCTCTGAGTGTCGTAGAACACTGATGTCACACTCGTTCTTAGGGAGGGGTTTCTCCTCGCTGAAAGTGAGAGGACGAGGCTTCACAAATAACTTTAGACCCGAGTCGGCTTTCAGCGCAACTCCTGGGACTGATTCTGAGACGCTTGATTATTACAGGCCCAGAATTCACCGAAAGATCAGATCTGACCAAAACATCAGAAGTGAGCGTTAAGGCCTGAGATGTGGACACAGCCTAATTCACTCGGTCTCTCCACATTAAACTTGTGTGTCAGCCTCCGTTTGTCTTGTGTTTTACCTATAGACATTTTTCATCTGGTGCTTTGTAAGACTTGGACATGAGCCGAATCACTGCAGCACCTCGCTGATTTTAGCAGCTTTACTCTCGTATGTGGCAGCAAAAGAGGCCTCAGTTGTGAAATCTGTAATATGCAACATTAAAAGTGGGCGTTACTGTGCAACATGTGACAGTGTGATAGTGAATAAATGATGTAACTGGAGGCCGATATTTGTGCAAATGTTCTCACACTTAGTTATGTCTTTCTAGTACATGGCCATGTATTTCTCCTTATCCCATTAACGTGTTGTTCACGTGGTTTAGCTGCAGACTCGGTGAATCTTTGTGAAGCCATCACATTGTTTTCAGAGCTGCAGTTTCACCGGCCCATCTTTTGTTTCAGCTCTGTACCAGATATAATAGCAACCATGAATCCATGTTTTTCCTTTTGTTAGGTTTGTCTTTGGAAGTCATGTGATTGTTTTTCTGTTTCCTCTCTGCTCCAGCTGGTACATCCTGTTCGGTCATGAGTTGATCTGGAAGAACCGAGAACCCTTTGTCAAACTTTGGCACAACTTTAGAACTCGCGGAGGGCCAGGCAGAGGAGGTGATCAGGGCGGCGCTGTGTAGGATGCTGAAACACCAGGACTGATGGGGAACAAACATTTTAAGACAAATAAGGCAATGACAAGCAGAGAAAGAAGAAAACCGTAGGATCCCTGCACCATTTGGTTTCATTAGAAAGAGTTTACAGGAAGCAGGTGGGAGTCAGAGACAGAGCCTGCACTTGAAACAGTGGTACATGTTTGTGCTTATAAAAATAATTGGCATATATGATTCTTGTCCGTTTGTGTTCACATGTCGTTTCCCTGTACATACAAACTCAGCAGGCACCATCACGACTGGCTGTGAACATGGCTTATATAATGAAGTAAGCAAAGGTCCAGGGTCACCAGACTGTTTGTTACAAAAGCTCAGAGAGGCCCAATGGATAAAGAAAAAACAGCAGCAGTTAATGGTCAAACTGGAACCGGATGCGTTTGTCTGAGCCTGGGCACGTTGTCCATCACTGTTATAGGGCCATGTACAGAGTTCTGTGTTGAACGTTCAATGCGATGAACACTGTATCCACTACATGCTGTTTTAGGGAGTTGGCCTAGTTCGGGACAGTCACAGGTGGCGAGAACCAGAACCAGCACGAGAACAGTACAAGTCAGTAAAGTAACTACAGTTTGACAGAGACTCTCTTTTAAAATTGGTTGAAAATTAGAGAATGAGTTCATTTCTGTCCTGAAATGTTTGCACAAACTCCTGTTCATCGTTTTTCTTTCTTTTTGTTTCTTATTTATACTTGCTGATTTTCACTGAAATAAATCTGTAACATGACCCAAAAACAAGCTGCTAGCTGATGTCCACTGATGCATGCACCGTACAGCTGCACTGCCAGAGGAGCACGCTGCTGGTCAGATGTTTCCAGTTTTAATTTTCACAGTTCAAGTCCAGTGAATCACCTTAAATGGTACGAAGACGTAAACTGCCAGAGGAAAAAAAAGTCACCAAAGATAAAACTCTGTCAACATCATATGAAGCAGGCCTTTCTCTCAGGGATCAGGTGAATGTCTATCGTCTCTGCAGCAGTGAAGTAAATGAAGCCTTGAAAACTGATTCCAACAGATTCTGTCTGTACTAAGGCAGAGCTGGATCAGACTGTCACTGCTCCCTCTGAAGCCTCATCTGGCAAAAGGCCATGAACACTGGGAGCCAGAGCTTCTCAGGGGTTCACCCTGTAGCAGGAGAAGGAACCACGAACAGCTCCAGGGTGTGGACGAGGACAGAACAGTGATGGACCGGCAGCACAGGGTCCACACTTTCCAGGTGAAGAGCGAAAGCAGAGCAGCTGACAGGTGCCGCACATCTGTGGAACACCTGCAGCAGGGCTGTCTGTCCCAGCTGTGGTTTGTGTTGTAATCCTGTGGACTAGCAGTGTTTACTGGGTACCAATGTACTAATCAAGGTGTTTTGACTCTCTCCAACAGTTATATATATTAAACCTTATTTTTCATGAGCTACTTGATCCAAATATCGATGGTCCTGATCGAAAATATTAACCCTTTAATCTTAAATGGTTGATCAATTGTGGATGAAAGCTGCAATTCATGAAACTGAAGTGAACATGTGAAACATCCTGGTCTCTCCACTGACCCCATCACTGTCATTGCTGTCCATGTTTATCGTTACTGCTCTGTGAGAGGCCGGCGCCCGGTAATGATGACAGGCCATATGTGCAGAGGAGGAGACATTAAAGCAAAAACATGGATTCTGATCTGACCGTTCTGAAGCTCTGCCATTCCCCTTGAACTAACTTGAGTTGTCTGTTAGTCTGTTCAGTGCAAATTCATCTTTGGTAGCTTCCCCAGGTGGTGTAGTAGTCCACTGCAGCGGCAGAGGGATACCTTCCAGTAGTTGTATTGGTGTGAAGTGCTGACCAAAGACCTCGTGTACCCTACATATGGACTCATCTGTATTGTTTTATTACTGACTTGAAAAATCCCGAGTCATTGTTTTGGATGCAGACTTTCAGTTACAGCAGCTTGATGAGTTCCCTGTGACCTACAAACATGACGCCAGGTTGACAAACAGAAACGCTGCAGGCTGAAGTCCACCCAGTGTCGGAGACAAACAGCAGCAGAGTCCAGACTGATCATAATACTGGTACTATATGTACACACATACTGTGTCTATTTAGAAGTAGGTCTGACATCCTTTATTCTGTTAGTCGCACACCCATTTGTCACTACACTGCATCACTGCATTTTATTTTGTATATTTTGCCAAAACAGGAGGAAACTAGTTTTAATCAGGGAGAAGCTGTAAAGTTCTCCATGTGTTAACAGGCAGAGCCTGTGTTTTCCATGAGCCAGTTTACTTCTAATATTCACATCAAAGTATTTTACTACTAACCCTTCTCAGTTCAGCTCAGTTTATTTGTATAGTGCTGATTCACAACAACATTTATCTCAGGGCACTTCACACACTCGGCTCTAGACCTCAGAGAAAACCCATGAGCAGAAAAACTCCCTTTAACAGGAGAAAACTTCCTTCTGTGTATTGTGGGGGGTTTCGTGGCAGTGTTTGCTGTTGTGCGCTCTACATATTGCAAAGCTAGTTGAGGCTAATTTGTGGTTTGGGGATGTAAAAATAAAACAGACTTGTCTGGACTTTATTTTTAAATGCAGGGCTATTACTTCTTAAGTAAATGTATTTTTAGGTGAATTCATTCCAGTAAAGAATGCGATTTTCCTCCGGTCAGACATACTTCTAAATACGTGTACATACAGGTGACAGGGTGACACCTGAATAAATGAGTCACTGATTCATCTGCTGATTTGTTTCTTGATGATTTAGAAATGAAAGGACGACCCGGCACAGAGTCCCAGTGAGGTGCTGGGCCACCACGTGCCACCAGAACAGCTCCACCTTGACTCTCCAAGTCTCTGAACCCTCCTGGAGGGATGGACACCGTTCTTCCAACAGATGTTCCCTCGGGTGGCGTTTTGATGATGGTGGGGGCTCCATCGTTGCAGCTTTATGTTAGTGAATGGCTTAACAGGAATGAAAAGGTGGGTTGAACACAGTGGGTACATCCCACCTCATATTCATCCATGTTTCCCTCACTTGGATCTTTTCCTTGTGACCTACACCCGCCCATGTAGGATCCTTCACCTGAAGCATCCAATCACTGATCTTCAATAAAGGGGCGTGCCAGCCTGTGAAGGATGCTGTCATGTTTCCTTGCATCTCTCTCCTCACAGAAGGAATAAGAGTCCTGGATTGTCATTCGACCTGGAGGTTATTCTGGTAGAAAGAGGATCGAAGGTTCAGTCTGTTTTGGAAGGATGATGTTTCCTCCCTCTAACAGGGGCACACTGGGTGGTAGTCTGTCCTTTCAGCTGTCACCAGCTGTAAGTTGGTGTTTCTATCCTGCAGGTTCTTGCTACTTATCAGATACTACAAGATAACATCAGCTGATGTATCAGCCTGGCTAGTTTCTTACTGTGGCGGCGTTGTCAGGGCATTAACAGCTGCATTCAGTTTATCAGCAGTTTGAACCTGCCAATGTTTTGTCACATCTGTAACATGTTCAGCATTTTCCCTCCAGGTTGATCATACATCAGTATAGCACACAGACTAGGAGACTTTCTGAAATCCTGTTCATAAGCAGCAGAGCTAGAGGTGAAACTCTGGACTTCCTGAATGTCGACACTGATGTGTGTTCAGTGGTGGTTTGGCCTCGTCCAGGGTTCATCGACCCTGACCACCAACAGACCTCAGCGTCAGACCAGGTTCAAACAAAGCTGACAAACCGAGACGAGAGAAGAGCAGAGAAACCACAAGAATCTCCACTTCAGCCCCCAGACCTGAGCTGACGGTACGACTCTGAATCTGTTTCTGTCTGTCGATCTTCAGTTTGTCACTGAATTTAATTCAGGATTTCATTTTGTATAGATTGAGTGAAGCAAGCAGCAAAATGCACATGACCAAGCCAGACAGTAGTATGAATGTGAAGGGCAGCGGTGGGAGTCAGAGTGAACAAATAACTTCACTGGTTAAACTCGGCTAAACTCGTGAACCCACCAGGATCAGGGTCTGAGTGGCTCTCACCGTCCTGCTGTCGAGTTTACACCTAAAATTGCTGATGACACCACGGTGGTGGGGCTTATCTCTGGGGAGGATGAAACTATCTACAGGGATGAGGTGGAGAGGATGATAGTGTGGTGCAGAGAGAACGATCTGCTCCTTAATACCTCAAAGACTAAGGAGGTCATTGTCGACTTTAGGGGGAAGAAAACCGACATCTTGCCACTGTATATCAGCGGGGACCGTGTGGAGAGGGTGCCGTCCTTCTGCTTTCTGGGAGGATCTGACCTGGGGCATGAATACCTCGAAACTGCTTAAAAAGGCCCAGCAGAGACTGTACTTCCTACAGATGCTCAGGAAGAACATCATCTCCCAGAGACTGCTGGTGTCCTTCTATCGGTGCTCCATTGAGAGCATCCTTACATACTGTATATGTGTATGGTACAGCAGC